CTCTCACACACACACACACACACACACACACACACACACACACACACACACACACACACACACACACACACACATCCACACACTCCCATCGTAAGTAAATGCTGTACCTTGCAGGGTTCAGAGGTCGGCCCACAGTATTCCCCACCGTCAAGTTCTTCCTCTTTCTGAGCGGAATCCGTCACGTCAACCCAAGTGACCACCACGATCAGCTGAGCGTCGAAGTTCTCGGGAGGGTTCACCACGGCACTCGGGACGTACTCGTTCATGTCTGAAAATGGTGAAACGGTATATTATGTTTTAAACGCCAACACCATTAAAAGACGGGATCTCAGAGTTTAACTCCATATTTAGCCCCAAAATTGACGAGATTCCATCGTTCATGTCTGAAAATAGTGAAATGGTATATCATTATGTTTAAGGCCCCTATCAACACCATTAAAAGACGGGATCTCAGAGTTTATCTCCATAATATTATGCCCAAAAATTGACGAGATTCCATCGTTCATGTCTGAAAATGGTGAAACGCTATATTATGTTTAACGCCAACACCATTAAAAGACTGGATCTCCGAATTTATCTCCATATTAAGCCCAAAAATTGACGAGATTCCATCGTTCATGTCTGAAAATGGTGAAACCGTATATTATGTTTAACGCAAACACCATTAATTAAAAGACGGGATCTCCGAGTTTATCTCCATAATATTATCCCCAAAAATGGGCGAGATTCCATTGTGTCACAACACAGCTAAATTATGATTGGGCGCCTGTAAGAAAGGCGGCTTGCGTTATTATATCCCCCCTCTCTCTCCGTTCTCTCTCTCTCTCTCTCTCTCTCTCTCTCTCTCTCTCTCTCTATGTCTGTCTGCTTGTCTATCTGCCTATCTGTCTATGTGTCTGTCTGTGTATATGATTATCTGTCTTGCTGTCTGTCTGGCTATTAATCTTTTGATGCTCCCCCCTTCTCTCTCTCTCTCTCTCTCTCTCTCTCTCTCTCTCTCGTTCTCTTAGTCTCTCTCTAGCTCTATCTATCTATCCGTAAAATACTTACATCTAAGCAGTCTCCTATACTCAGACTCATGCTCATCACCATCCAGTTTGTTCTTGTCGATGAGCCGAAATAAGACTTCCCCGATGTAGTCATCCACGATGGGCTCATAGCCACTAGATTGGGAGAGGCCAAACAAATATGGTATTATTCTCAAACCTTCTATCTGTAATAACGAAGAGTTGGAAATAGCTGGAATTTGTTTTAGTAAGAGTTTTATGATACTTGCAGCTCGATTAGATTATATAAGTGCCAAAGATTAGAGGTGTTACAAGAGAGATGTGCCAAGTTTGGAGGAGTGGATAGGCACAGGTAAGCCTGGCTTTAACTGCTCTCCGCTGTATGTACCTAACCCCCCCCTATCCCCCACCTGCTTTTCATATTCCTAAATCCCACCTAGACACTGTTTCCGGAATCTTTTTTTGTTTTCAATAACAATACCTTACTGAATAGTAGATAAAACTGTTATTCAGACAGTAGTCAGAGCATTTTTGTACTCGTTATGCTACAAATTCCTGCCTGTGGAAAAGAGAAAACTACTTCGCTCTTATTTCCAGACATAAATACATAGTAGTTTCATACCCTGATGTATGTCTCACTTTCAGTTAGGAAATGGGG